CGTGGCTTGTGTTTCTGCGTTGAGCCTTTCCCGTCTCAGTGCATTAGTTTGCTGACTGAGTCTTTCTGACACCCCTATGTTCCGTGAGTGTTTGGGTTGGTACTTGGTGTTTCCCTGGCTTGATAGATCTTGGTTCAGTTCGTGTTGCTTGAAGTTCAAAGTGGTAGGTGAGGCGACCATGGCCACCCTGGGCCAAGGGTGGGGAACCACCACTGACCTCTTTCTGTGTGTTGGAGGGAGATACTCCATTCAGCCTCTGATCTCACAAGCCAGAGTGCACTCAAGACTATGGTGTGTGTGTGTGTGTGTGTGCGTGTGTGCACGCATGCGCATGCATACATGGTGGGATGATGTCATGGGTCCTTTGAGTGCATGAACCTGATGTACATGGAACACCAGGAATGAGCACTGGGGACAGGTAAGTTGTATATCATCTGACTTGCCCCATTGGGGTGTGCTAGAAGCAGAGGGAATCGCACATCCTCCAACCTCACCCGCCTAGATGCACCTGACACCGTACTAGTGTGCACCAGGGTAAAGGGGTCTGTCTCATTCTTCTCTCCTCATCAGTGGGAGCACGTGGAATGCAGATGGGGCGCAGGAGCAAACTGTAGGGATGGTGGGCTCTGAGTCCTCTACCTCATCAGGTAGGTGGGACAGTGGGCAGAACTACACTGGGTGTGGGGAAGGAGCCACATCTGCTGGCTTTCCCAGCTGGATTTTACACAGAAGTGTGTCCTGGGACAAAGAGTGTCAAGACCTCTAACCTCTTCCACGTGGGTGTATATGGGGTGGAGGAAATGTGTGTGGTCAGGAGCGGGTGTCTGGAGTCCTCCAATTCTCCAGCTGGGACAGACTCAGGATGGAGGGAGGGTCAAGGTTTCTCTTTAATGACATTCATCTCTTTATCAACTACGATTGCTCTCCATGTCTGTGTGTCTCAGCCTTAAATTCACATCCTTTTACTCACCAGTGCATGTTCCCACTTTTCTGTACTCCCTTGACACGGATCTAAGAGCAATAAGCAACTACCATTTCACAGCCTGCATGAAGTTCTGTCGCACAATTTCCTCACCAGACAACTGATGTGGGATTTCCCTCTGTATGCTGTGATTACCATTAATGAATAAAGAAAGCTGGTTTGACCCTATAGCAGGACAGAACACAGTTAGGTGGAGAAAACTAACTGAATGCTGGGAGAAAGAAGGGCAGAGTCAAGGAGAAGCCATGTAGCCCCGCCCAAGACAGACACCGCAACTTTACCCAGTAAGCCACAGCCACGTGGAGATACACAGATTACTAGAAATGGGATAAATTAATATTTAAAAGTTAGCCAATAAGAAGTTAGAGCTAGAGAAACCCTGTCTCGAAAAACCAAAAAAAAAAAAAAAAAAAGAAGTTAGAGCTAATGGTCCAAGTAGTGATTTAAGTAATATAGTTTCTGTGTAATTATTTTAGGGCTGAGCAGCCAGGGACAAGTGGCCTCCCTTAAACAAATTGGTGCCTAATGTGGCCAACTAAAATCCAAATTTATTCTCATTCAAATTTTCTGGACAAGGAAAGAATGCAGCCAGATCCTCCATGAGAGTGTAGCATGGGTGATCCCTAGCCAGTTCCCAAAAGAGTCCCGGTTCTTCTCGGAAACACCATGAGCCAGGCCTCTGCTGTCCACATTTCCTGTGTAGTGCTGAGCTTCCACTAAATATCGGCACTGCTCTTGTTGCTTTAACAAAAGCACCTTAAGAAGAACAAGTTTATTTTAGCTTACGGTTTGAGGGTACAGTCTATCACAACCGGGTGGGGAATGAGAGGCAGGAAGGTCTGCTCTGACTGTGATGGCAGGGATACGGGACACTTGGTCCTGTGTGTCCACCATCAGGACAGTAGAGGGCACTGTGCAGCATGCTCTGTGTGGGTCTCCTTTTCTTTGGTCCAGGACCTCAGCGCAGGGTATGGTGCTGCCCATACCCTGGGTGAGTCTTGACCCTTCAGTTAAACCTCTCTGGAAAGACTTTCACAGACATGCTCAGAGGTGTGGGGTGTCTCCTGGGTGACCCTAAACACTGACGAGTTACGGTGGCGTGTAACCATCACACCTCCTTCCCGACACTCCCCAGCACTAACCAGCATTTGGCTTTGTGGTCTGTGCTTATTTAAATGCTCACAGCGTCATCTATTTCCTACCTCTCTCCCACAACCCCCAGGGCAGCTTCCCAGTCGGCATGACAACGAGCTTATAGAAAGTACCAAGTATTGCTGCTGAAGCCTCAGAATCTGACTGGAAGCGGAGACTCGCTAACCACATATCTATCACTCACTGAAACCTTGGGCTGGTAATTTTATGAACTGGTGATATCAGAAGATTACATCATGCAGGATGAAGCATGTCACTGTCCCATTAAAAAATACCCAACTTCTTTAGAGTTAAAAACCCTCAGCTCTTCAAAATTCAAGGCTCAGATTTACAGATGCATGTAATTCTTCTACAGGCCACTAGGAGGTGTCTCTCTCCCATTTCTAAGGACTGTAAAATATTGGGAAGAATGCACTGCACTCTGGGAGGAATGGGGGAATGTAGCTGTCTATTTTAAAACAGCAGCAAATCCTCTTTTTTTTTTACGTACTTAAGCTGTTTTAATGTTGTTAACATTCTTGCATGAAATACTTTGATGTGTCTGCATGTGTGCAAATACTGAAGTTTCATTAGAAAGATAATCTGTTATAGATTGACCTGGACCAGCAAGGTGTTCTGTGACAGGGTCCTGAGAGAGAGGACCAAGAGGTAGAAGATAGAGGAGAGACAATAGAGAAGACAAAACATCTGGGACTGACTGGGAGGTCTTGCATAAGCTGTCTTATGCAAGTAAACTTATTAAGAAGTATAGCATCTTATATATTATTTTCAGGGGAAAAAGAGGGACAGAGTCAGGAGAAACTATCATCCAATGGGAAAAGACAGCAGGAAGCTGATCAAACAATGCTGTACAAAGGGAACACGGGGTGTATCAAGAACATTGCAGACCTGGGCACAGTGACTTGGGACTAATACCTTAGCCCTGTATGGTGGGAAAGAGCAGAGAGGATTAAGGAAGCAGCATCTGGGGTTAGCAAAAAACCTAGCTCTAGAGAAATTCCCAGGAATTCACAAGGATGACCCCAGCCCTGTAGTCAGACTGATAAATATCTTAAATATCACCATAGAACTTTCATCCAGCAGCTGAAGCAGAGACCCACATTGGAGCACTGGACTGAGCTCCCAAAGTCCAGTTGAAGAGTGGGAGGAGTGAGAATATGAGCAAAGAGGCCAAGACCATGATGGGTTCACCCACTGAAACAGCTTACCTGAGCTAAAGGGAGCTCACAAACTCCAGCCAGACTGAGAAGGAACAAGCATAGGACCAAACTAGTCCTCTGAATGTGGTTGACAGGTGCATGGCTGGGGCAGACTGAGGGGCCACTGGCAGGGGCACCAGGATTTATCCCTACTGCATGTGCTGGCTTTTCGGAACCCATTCTTTTTGGATGGATACATTGCTCCGCCTAGATATAGTAGGGAGGGCCTTGGATCTTCCCCAAAGCAATGTGCCTCTCTGAAGATTGGATGGGGGTGGGGGTGAGAGGGTATGTGGAGGGAATGGGAGGAGGGAAGGGGGTCGGAACTTGGATTGGTATGTATAATGGAAAAAGATAGTTTGTTTTCTTTTTAAAAAATTAATTAATTAATTAAAAAAGGGAAGCAGCATCTGTCAAGGGGAAAGGCCTCTTCTTTACAAGGGACAATTCCTCCTGTGCAAGTGTGAAGCTGGTCTCTGCCCATGCAGGGACAGGGGGTGGGGATTGCTTGGAGGGTAATTTGGAACAATCAAGTATGAAGGATTCAGTTTTCTTTTGGTGCCCCTGGCTTCTCTGAGTTTTCTGCATATCCTTGTCCCGCATCGCCCATGTGTCAGGGAATAAAGTCATGGTGGCTAGTGGTCATCTTTTTTTTGCTATAGTGGTAGAAACTATATGTATTAGCTTAGTGAAAGTCCCTCTAACTGATGGCCACACTTCCCAGCTGACCTGGTAGTTAACTGTGACCATGTTACTAAGTTCTAGCCAGTGGGACAGGAACAGACATAAAAATACATAATCTCAGATATCACCTGTCTGATATACTGTTTGCTATAAAAGTTTAATCTTGGGCTTATGGATGTTTTGCTGTGTGTCTGTCTGTGCACCACATGTGGGCCTGGTGCCTGTGGAGGCCGGAAAAGGGCATCGGATCCTCTGGAACTGGAGTTGCGGATGGTTGTGAGCCACCACTTGGTGACCTGAAATCAAACCCAGGTAGAAGAGCAGCAATTCCTTCTGACCACAGAGCCACCTCTCCAGATCTATTATATTTCCAAAACTGTTTAGAGCTCAGGTAGGGCAAGAAGTTTAGTAGATTCATTTCTCAGGACACCCGTGGCTGAGTTGGATAGACACCTACAATGATATCCCTACCTGACCTACCAGGGTGCTGTTTGGACTTTTAGCCCTCCAAACTGTGAGCAGACTAATCCTCTTATCGGGCTATTGCCCAGCCTCAGGCATTTTGTTAGAGCAACCTGGCACAGACTAACACAGCACAGCAGGAGACCTTGAAATCCTCTCCCTGGTGCTCGCGTACAGGTCCTGAAGGAGTTCCCTGAGCTTACACAGAGTTGGACCTGCCTTTACAAGGAACTCCCTGCCAAGGCAACCTCATATCAGGACATTACATTAGGAAGTTTGTACTGGCTTACAGCGTTCCCGTTTTATCCTTGAAGCCATAAAGACAAGCACATTCCCTATGGACACGGATACACAGGAGACAAGGCCACCTCATCTAGCCCGTCTCTAGACGAGGTGACCCCAGTCCCTCCCCACCTTCACCACCCAAGGCAGTGCAGTCTGATGGAACTGACATTGTACGATTGCACGCATTTAACATTTATTTTGACTGTAAGGATGGAACCGGCGTGGTATGATTGCCTGCACTTAACATTTATTTTGACTATACGGTGGAATCGGCGTTGTGTGATTGCATCGTTTAACATTTATTTTGACGCTAAGGGTGTGAGTACTGTGTTATGTGATTAACTCAACTACTCCTTGCCTTCCACGGAGGCTGAGGGAGGAATGGATATCCCAACTGCAGGCTCGGGATCAGCAAACAGTCCAGGCTGGCTTCTTCCCAAGGTGCGTTGAGTTCCTAGGGGAGGCGCCGCTGCTCTGTCCGCAGCATTGATGGGGGCGAGAGATCAGCAGGGCCAAGGGCTCCAAGGGAACCAAGGAGGACATGTGCAAAAATGATCAAGTCCTAGACCAGGGTGGACCTGGCCTAGCTTGAGGTGAGAGGGGTTGGGTGGGGGCTCGCTAGAAGTCCATGTCTGGCAGCCGTGGGGACACAGAAGACTTCTCAAGCTGGACAGCATAGACCGCAGTTTCACTCCCCAGGAGAGCCCTGTCTGGTCTGTGTTTCCCAAGTCTGTGGGAGCGCCGCCGGGTCCTTCATTCGGCCACATCGATGGACAGCATGGCCTTGATGGCTGGGAATTTGTTGCAGGAGAAGTCGGCGACCAGTTGCTTGGTGCCACTCCGGGTGGGAAGAATCTCAAAGCGGATCCGGGACTTCTCCTTGGGACGCAGGGCTGGCACACTGATGGGGAAGGATACGGGTTAAGTGTTAATGTGAAAGTCAGAGGGCTCCAAGTTCGGCTCTAGCGGTGTCAGGCAAAGCTACCATTTCTTCACCTCTCTCTCTAACTGCCTCTGCTAACCCGGGTCCCTAATTTCTGTGACTTCCAGTTGGTGGGGAGGCAGGAAGTCTTGCCATCTCCCAAATATGCCAAGCCCTAAGGATCAGATTTTAGCACTGGCAGTTAGGACTTCAAGTTTGATGAACTCCAAACAAAATGCAAATGAAGATCCTTGGGTACCAAGCCCCACAAAGAATGAAGATGTGAGGCCATGGGGTGTTCTCCCTGTCCTACTTAAAGGCCCAGGGCAGGCCCGCCTGTCCCACATCCGGCCATCCCTACAAAGCTGCTTAGACCCGGGACTTACTCGATTTTGAGGTTGCCACGTAGCAGGCCACTGCCCTCCACCATCAGCACGCAGTCCCTCACTGGCTCATCCAGGGGGTTGGAGAAAAGCATCTGCACGTTCACAGGTTTCCGCACGTGAGCCTCCTCCAGCACCTGTAGGGGGGGTCCATGAGTCAGGGTGCTAGCTGTGTGGCCCCTGCCTGCTGCCCTGGGAGAGCTGAGCATGGTGGCGGGGTGAAAGAGGAACAAGGCCTAGGATGTAGGAGGGAAGGGCGTTTCATTCAGCCGCAACTCTCAGGTGCTCTCCTAACCCACGTGTGGTAGCAAGACATCACTATTATCCCTACGCTGTGGTGGGAAACAGATTCAGAGGGGGACCTGTGCTGTCCTCTGTGACTGGAAGCAATAATATGACAACTCACGGCCTCAGCTCCTCCAGAAAGGGCAGCTCCTCCTTCCAAAGACAGCCCACTGCCAGTTACTTTTCCTGAACCTTTTTATTATTTTTTTTCCTTAAGAAAAATTTTATTTCGTTTGTGTGCGTGTGCGTGTGCGTGTGTGTGTGTGTGGTTTCTGGCCTTTCAAGAGGCTAGAAGAGGACCTCGGTTCCCTGGAGCTGAAGTTAAAGGCCATTGTGACCATGGTTCTGGGCACCAAACATGGGCAAGAATAGTACTTGCTTAAATAGCCATCTCTCCAGCCCCTTTAGTGGTTGTCTTTCTTTTTTTTACCCTTAAAGTCATTCCTGGGAGATGCCAGCTACTGAGGATACACCGAAGACTCCCGAGGTGACTCAGGTAGAGGTTCACAGCCATGGTCCCTTCTGCGCTTGATTACAAGAATTGGGGCAAACAGGCTATTTTTCTGTGGTGACACACAGGCTGCCAATTTCCTTCCCAGCTTCGGGAGCCCAGACAATTCCTATGTGTCACGTTGCGGTCTTGGCAGGGCTCCAACACTGACCCAGCTGGAGTCATAGGGGATGATGTCTTGATTTGGGGTCATAGAAGCGACACAAACTACTTATTCACCCCAAAAGGTGGAGACTGCCATTTATCTGATAAACATCAGCTTCGAATCTGGGCAGACATAGCCGGCCAGAGGGATAATTACTTATCTCTCCCCTTCTAGCTAGGAACAAATGATGTCATGGAAAAAGGAAGCAAGCGTTTTGGAAATAGATGTTGAAATTGTGTGACTGGCAGATTTCTCTCTTTTCTTCCTTTGAGAAACACTGGAGATTGCTGGGCTTGTGAGTTTCATTCCCTTGTCCTAAGTGCTCATGGCTGCCATTGTATAGTGTCAAAGGCCAAGCTCAGACTGATTTGACAGCTTGGGAAACTCACACATTGGGAAAAAGAAGGACTTTCCTGCCCCAAAGCCTAGGCTATTTTTTTTTGACAGACTTTAACACAGAGCAGCACATTGTGAATAAGTGAGGCATATTAAATGCCGCAATTACTGTAATTTCTCTCCTGGAACTCAAAGTATTTGTAATAATTTGAAGAGAAAAGCATAGTTTTATGCTATTGATGTATGACAACGCTCCATAAATAGTACCAGATTCTTCTTGCTGACATTAAATTTATACATCTGTATATTTAGCTATCTTAATTGTTGTTTATTAACCAAGTCTATAAACACACTCGTTTACATTTTCAAATATCTGTTTCTTTTTTTTTTCTTGAGACAGGGTTTCTCTGTGTTCAAATATCTGTTTCTTCATCTTTATGGTTATGTATTAATCTGGGTCTATAAATGCATCCGTCAGACTGGATGGATATGGACCACTAGCCATGAACTTGCAGATTCGCACCCCTTTGGGAAAATACTCAGATTTTATTTCCGATCTCATTGTCTAAGGTCCCCATGTTAACCCGTGTTAACCACCAATCAGCATTAGAGGAGCCAACAGAGTTTCACCCAGCGTACTCTCTTTTTATAGACTTTCTTTATGAGTTTAGAACTCTGACTGCTCTGAGTGAACCACACGTTGACTTGTTTAGTGGACAAAAAAATCCCTGTTTTCTAGAAGCTCCAAAAGAGGGGAGAATGTGGAAAATTGGGTGTCTCGTATAAAAAGGCCCAAGGAAGTTCAGTACGGCCTACTTCCTGACTAGGTGCAGTGATAAAGACGTTATAGTATCTTTAAAGATAAATTAGACATCATATGGAAATCTAAGAAATGTTGAACAAAATTGAATATATGAATAAAAGATGACTCCAAGGATGTTTGAGGATTAGGGAGTAAAATGGGGAAAACTAACTTAATTTAAACGCTCATGGTTTTTGGGCAAGATTTTTTTTTTTTTTTTTTTTTTTTTTTTTTTTTTTTTGGTTTTTTNGACAGGGTTTCTCTGTGGTTTTGGAGCCTGTCCTGGAACTAGCTCTTGTAGACCAGGCTGGTCTCGAACTCACAGAGATCTGCCTGCCTCTGCCTTCTGAGTGCTGGGATTAAAGGCGTGCGCCACCACCGCCCGGCTCTGGGCAAGATGTTTTTACAGCTATGCTGGTCACTGCCCAGTGTTGTTCCCCAGCTTTAGGGAGTGGAAGACAACATTCAGCTGTCCATTGCATCTTGGAAATGCCTTGTGAAGCAAGAAGGGCTGCACCATGCAGGGGTCATGCAGGGATGGCCAACAGCTTCCCTCTGGGAAGGGAGGAAGGGCAGGCCACTAGCTCTGCTGTGGCTAGGACCCACGGACGGTGCTGCTTCTGTTTTATGAAGTTTGTGTGGTAGGATGGGTCCTGGGACAGCAGTGACACCCGTTTTACTGGCATTGACTAACAGATAGGGGGACAAATTGTTATACGAAGGTCTGCTTTTAGCTGGGACAAATGCTTAGAACGTCCTGAGGCTGTGTCACTGGTGACCAGGCCTGACTGTGAAGAGCTATCCAGAGATGCTAACCCTGAGGAAGTGACACCCTGCCAGGGGAGTGTCTTCTCCCTCTGACAGAGTTGGAGCAGCAGACTTAGCTAAAGGACCTGCTCACTTTCCACACTGATAAATCCTGGAGCCCAGCTATAAGGCCAAGTCACTTTAGTGCAAGGCCCACGGTTGGGACTACTGCCCCACGGTGACTGTCTGGCCCTTGAGGTGGGACTGCTGCTGTCCTGAAACACAGCTGGACCAAACAGGACAGCAAGGTTAGCTGCACAGAGAAATGGGAGCCTGCCTCAAAGTGGACTCCCTGTGTTCCCTCTTGATACCGGGAACCCTAGGAGCTACGGACAGCTTAGAAGAGGTGGGACCAAGGTGGACACAATTACCTGGATCCTACACAATGGGCGCATGGGAAGCCGGCAGTGGGATTGTACAGGAAGAGACAAACGCTATGTATAGATACAGTAGGTGACGGTCTTGTGTACACCCCTAGGGGAAATCAGCCTTTTCCGCTCACTTCCTGGTGTCTGGGGAGGCACGCCCCACATCCTCTTACCTCCAGGGTCAGGGTGGGGTTGTCTAGGATGACGTCCCTCTCCACCACCACCTCAGCCTCATCTGTCACCTTGCATATGGCTGTGGTTCGGATCATGTTGTCCGCCTTCAGGTATCTATCATACCGAGAGTACGCGATCTTCACAGGATGCTGTATTTCTGAAAGGAGGAGCAGGGAGTGGGTGATCTGAGGGCGAAGATGGGCTCTGAGATCGTCTTTAGAACTGAATTATGGTGGGCTGAGCTGGTAGAAGGATCAGTAGGTAGCCTATTTACTTTCATTGCTCAGGTCTTGTGGTGTGTGTGTGTGTGTGTCTGTGTGTGTCTGTGTGTGTCTGTGTGTTGGTTTTGGTTTGGATTTTTAGCAGTATATGTTTTAGCAGTATGTGTATGTGTTCCAGAATAGGGATCGAGGAAGTGCCAGGATTCAAGCCAACAAGCAGACTCCAAAAAGGGGGGACTTGCTGAGCTGAAGTATAGATCCCCCTCCCAGGCCTGGGGAATGTGTTTCCTTCTAAGGGACAGGGTAAGAACAAGGATGCTAACCAATTGCCTAATGGCCACAGCGATAAGGATGACAACCCAGGAATGACTGGGAAGGGAAGCCAAGGCCTCAGCCAAATCAATGCTTCAGTCCTCCCAGCCATCCAATAAGCTGCGGTTCCAGTGTGACAGAGCCCTCGACTTCCTTCCTCTCTCTGGCTCCCCCTCACTGAAGCTGCACACACAGTAGCAAGGCAGACTTTAAAGACTGCAGTCTCTTCTAAGTCACGGTGAACCTCCTGTGCTTCATGGCAAACAACTCCCATGGTTCCCTGCTGCCTTAGGGAGCAAGTCCAGACTCTTAACTTGTCCCTGCCCCAACTGTCCAAAAGGCACCGCTTCCCTAAAAAGCCACCCCACACCTTCTTATCATTCTGTATGCAAATCAGGCGTGTTTCCACCACACTTTGCCTTGTGGGTTTTCCCTCATTGGAACGCCCTCCTCTGGCTTCTCTCTAGGCCCCGAGGACTCTCTCTGTGGTGCTGGGAACAGGATCCAAGGCCTCGTGCACACTAAGCTCACACCCTATCAGCAAGCTACATTCCACCCCACTTTCCCACCACTGTAGAGGGCAGGGATTTCCTCCTTCAGACAGTCTGCGCACTGTGTTCCCTTCCCACAGTTGCTCTTGGTGGCCTGGGGATAAGACAGCTAATTAGGAGAAAGCTCCTTCAGCTTTTAAGATGAGAAGAACTGGCAGGAGCTGGAGAAGACCTCCTTGGATCTGCTGATCCCCACTTCTCAGTGCTCCAACTCTGAGGCTCAGAAAGGAAGGAGACTCACCCAGGCTTACCCAGAAAGTCCTCGAGCACTGGGACTCCAGGACCGCTTCACCTGCCTCCTCCCTGTTTTCATTCCTTTCTGCTGTCTTTACAGAGGATTAAAATACTTTTTCCTTCGTATGGAATATTTCTGGCCTACAGAAATAGGTCTTCATGGGTGAGAGCTGTATCTTTGCTAGAGTTCTTGTCTACTATCTAGGGGATCCTGAGTTCCATCCCTAGGTTTCCCCACCACCAAAACAAAAAGGCTCCCTTTTTTTTTTTAAGTGTCAGAGGCAAATAATAGCAACAGTTGTTTCTGATATTGAAATTTCTGCTGGAAGACAAACTGTAATGTGTGTACCTTTTGGTGAAGGTAACAGAGCTCACTTTCTCTTGGCACTCTTCCAAGACAGGCCGTATAATTAATCAGTTTCCATTAATTCTTGGTGTGAGGCAAAGAGCCACCCCACCCTTGCTGATCTGCTTTGTCAGCCTAAACTTTTCATAACAGCTCAAGGATTTTGCCAATGTGGGCACACCTGCGCTCTAATCCCATGGAACCAACCTCCCTCTGCTCCACCTTGTTCCCGTCCCATCTCTGCTGCCCTGAAGCAGCAGTGAACCTCCCAAAAGCTTAGATATCCAAGAAAATCTGTCACTGTCATCAGGAGTCAAGAAATGGCACTCAGACCTTGGGAGCTATGGGCAACATGGGGCAAGGGTTTAAGATCCTGGAATCTATTGCAAGCCACCCAAGGCCACACGAACAATAGGACTGGGGGAGGAGAGCAGGGTGGCAGCAACAAAAATAAGAGGTGACATTGGGTTTAACATCAGGAAACCAAGGACCAAGACCTCAACCCATAATCACTATGGCAAAGCAAGTCACAAGTCTCTGAAGCCTTATGTCAGACTCTGTAACATAGGACTTGAAGTCCACCTCATCTAGAAGGTCAGATGAGGTCACATTTACTATGAAAATCATGCGGGGTAGCACAGACCTGTACAGGACATTGTGCTGTGGCTATGAGCTACCAGAGCCTCCCTTCTTCCCTTGCTAGGGTGTCATAATATGAGGTTAGCACCACGGGCCTTGCTCATAGGACAGCAATGTCCAGAGCATCAGAACTAAGGCTTACCCATGGAGGCCATTCATTACTCCACCCGTAGTGAACTGACTCACCCAAAGCCCAGCAGGAGCCCTTTTGTGATCAGCTCCTCAGGCTTATTGGGTCCCACCAACAACAGCATGAGTTACCTTCCTCGGGATCCAAGGATATTGTGGTGGAGTCCTTCCAAACTTCGTGGACAAGGGTGCCATTGTAGACGATGGTCCAGGCTGTCATGTTCACTGTCACTGTCTTCCTATCTCTTGTCAGGTTTTTGAGCATCAGGGCCAGACTGACTTCTTTGCCCACTGCCAGTGCACCAACGACCCTGAACCTCCCAGAAATGCTGGGCGCTCCTTCCTCCCCTGCCAAATCTCTCGCAGACGTGGGGCCGAAAGATGCATTCGGTTTCAGTTTACTCAAAGCCTTCTGGTGCACTTGTCTCTCCTCACTGGAACCTGTGAGTTGGTGAAAGAAACAAAAACAAAACAAGGACACCTCTTTGTGACCGCTATTCAGACAATGGATGGTATGTCTAACCCCACACCTGAAAGTGACTTAGAACTAACATTGACATCCCTTCTGTGGGTCCAAGTTGCTCCCAGCAAGTGTCTGATCTTGTAAGGTCTCCATTAACACTTCCTAGTATAAGGCTTCTAGACCAACCAGTCCCTGGTCCTTTCTCCGGCAAGTCTACACTGTCAGGAAACCACAGGGAAAGCTGGGTTAGTTCCTGTAAATAAGCACTAAGGGGTATCATCTTTTCTTTGCTTGAAGTTGGATTTTTTTTTTCATTTTCTGCCTCCCTCCCTTCCTCTCCCTCCTCCTTCCTTCCATCTCTTTCTCACTTCTATTCTCTTTCTTTGGATGAAAAGTCTTTTGTGAGCCTTGAAGGACAGTCATTTATAAACAAGTGACAAACTGAGCCAAGGAGTCTTAGAACGAATCCATAAGCAAAATCAGTTACGAGAGAGAACTTCAAAACCCTTCCCCTGTGCCCCCGCCTTGTGTCTATAGGAACTATGGGAGTCAGGAGGTGACACTTTTGTCGGTACAAGTCAACAAGATATTCCTGTGACTGATAAGGTCCCAAGTCATACTAGTTAGAAATTCCAAATTGCTGAGAAATTTGGACTCTCCAAGTGGCGAGGGCTAATCTAGGAGGGCGCCTTTCCCGACTCAGACCCAGGCTGTAGGTGCTGCTGACTCTGGCAGCAGAAGCAGTGCGTGGAGAGCCCTGGTGATACCCTAAAAAGGCACACTGAGAACAGAGCAGACTACTTCAAGCCCAGCTGACTAAGCAGTTCCCTTCTGGTTCCCTGCCTTGACCTGAAGACACAAGTACCATACAGCAGAAGGTCCCGGCTTCCCAAGAAGACAGAAGAGTAACCGTGTTGGCATTTGTGGGCCATGTTGGTGGCCCCTAGGCTTTTTCCAACCATTATGAACATTTCAAGGTAAACCAGAAGGCTTACGATGGGTGCTCTCCAAGTTAGCGAGTCCTTTCCATGAATTATGTATATTTCCTGGCAGGGACTTCAGAGGCTCATGCTAAGAGAAGCTGCTGGCTTGGACTACTCTGGAATTTGGATGAAGGAAGGGATGGCCTCGTCTCCAGGGATCCGCAGCCTGGTCCAAGGATCCTCCCCTGTCCCCTGCTGCAAGAAGGGAGCTGGATTACCAGGCTTGACAGCTCCTGGAGGGCCAGGTTCCTCTGGATGCCCTTCCATTCTTGCTGAGTTCTCAGTCCACACCCAGGGCTGAAGGCTGTGCCGAGCTTCTGAGCCTCTGCGCCTGAGACCTTGGAGCAGGCGTTTGCACAAGGAGGTTCCAGAGCCTATATAGGTCACCCGCTGGGCTTACTCAAGACTATGCTTCCTGCTGCTGTTTTCCCAGCACAGCATTGCTATTGTGTAAATGCTTAGCAACCCATTTTATGAGCTTTTCCTGCCTGGGGCCCTCTGAGACCAACTGGCATCATTAGGCAAGACGATCTGGATACATCAGACAGCTGCTCCATCTTGTCGCGCAGGAGCTGAGGTGCTGCCAGGAGTCCTGTGGGCCCCTCTCTATTGCTTAGGAAGCTGCTAGAATTCTGGAGAGGCAGGATCAAAGTGTGAGAGTAATAGGGACTCTCACAGGCTCAGACAACCAGGTAAAAGGTACCTGAGCAAAACAGACTATGGAAAGGCCTCATTCCAGGGAGAGCACAGACATCCAATGATGGAAGACCACCATCCCTAGTCACGAAGTCCTTGCTGCGTGCCCAGCACTGCACTTCGCACTTTATGTACATGTTTGTGTTGAGAACCAACCCCAGAGAGGCATTGCTATTCTCGTTTTACCGGCAAAGGGACAAGAGAACCGGAGATCCTACAAGCTTGTTATAAGTGGGAGGTAGGACTGAGAGTCGCCTTCCGTCCTGGTTTATTTGTTTCCTGTTTTCTACATTTGCTTTACATCATGACACTGAAAATGCCAGTCTGGAACCTGCCTCTCCAGTGATAGCATCTGCTGTGTTTTATCTACAAGGTACCTGGAGGAGGCATTCAGACAGTAGGTATTCAGAAAGTCATCAGAATCGAAATAGAACCACTTGTGCCCATCGTAACAAAGATAAACAGATACTTGAAGCTGAGAGGTTACAAAGGGAAGAGTCCTTTTCACAAACGCCTGATGGCTGCTTTGGCAAAAGACTACCAGAACCACGAGCTTCACCAGAGGCCACAAATGTAACTCAACCCAAAAGAACCACAAGGACATCTGCCCCGCAACTGTCTGCTCAACCTTGCATCGCTACCACCTTGGCCAAAAAGTACCATCTCAAAACATCTGATGACACTGTCTTCATTTCTGCCTCTGAAAGCATTCTCTTCACCCTTTGAAGAGCCCAATGGTTTTCTACGGTGCGTGTGTTCTTCCAATGCACTACCATTCTCAAACAAGTGGGTTACAGTTATAATCTCACTGGGATTTTTTTGTTTGTTTGTTTGTTTTCATATTGACAGACTCAGGAGTATTTATTGGCTGAGGACAACCTGCAAAATGTCCATCCACTGGTACCTGGAGGGGATGCCCCTGTCCTTGGAGCCAGGCTCCACCTCCTGGAGCCGGTTTTCTCCTTCTGTGAACTCCGGCCAACAGCAACAGCCACTAGTTGTCAGAGATTTCGTCTGATTTTAGGGGCACTGCGGGCACATTTAGAAGGGTGCTTTTTTGCTCCCTTCCTAGAAATTGGCTTTGCAGATCAAGTGAGTCAACTACTTCCAGGTCTTTTGGGAAGAGTGAAGTATCAACCCTGTGGGCTGCTAGAGCCACTGCCAAATGCCCCTGGGCTATTTCTAAAGTCAAACTCCACCTTCAAAAGGAGAACTGCCATCCTTGAGAACTATGATGCTCTGGGTTCGCAAAGCAACTCTAATAGAGATAAGGCAGCTTCACAGCACATGGCCTTCCAAGGGGACTGTAGGATGCCAGCAGGAGTACAGAGGATGGAGATTTCGGGGACCACAGCATTTGCCTCTTCAGGTGACCATATCTCTGGGCTTCTTAGGGGATGGGAACTATGAATGTATATGGCATAAGCCCACATTCCTGGATTTCTTTGTCTATTTTTTGTCGAAATGGCATTTTCTGTTTATGTTCTGGGAGGCAAAATGGACTGATAGAAAAATGTGTCCCAAAGCCCTGAGAACCACGCCTCTCCCTGTGATGTTCAATCATAGTGACATTCGTTCAGTTGTGCAATTGAGAAAGGATCACCTCTGGAGGTGGGCTGGGCTGACAGCTGTCTGTGCTCTGTGGCTGTGTAGCTCGTGTTTTAGCTGCTCTTGGTGTTTCTGTCCCCACTGGAAAAAAAGCAGTTGAGCACTCGATGGTAGAGAGACACACCCTACCACCGGTACAGAACAGACTGAACTGTAGAGGTATTGGGTAGAAGACTTCTGTCCTGTCATTCCCAGAGCTGTCCGCCCATCACTAAGTTCCTTGTGACATCACACTCTGTCAGCACCAATCTTACCTTCTGGATACTTATACTTGTCTGTGACATCCAAGCGAGAGTTGCTGCCCACGGCCTTGGTGCTGATGTATTTGCCAATGGAGTAAGTGTCCAAAGAATTCTGCTTCTGGCTGCCATTGCTACTATTATAGATCCAAGTGATGCGATCAGCATTGACCTCCGCGAAGATGAAGACCATGTCAAAATTCAGGTTTATATCACCGTCTCGTATTCCATTGACGGAAGCTGGACCACACTGGAACACACCTGGCAGCCAAGATGCAGAGTTTGGATGCGCACAAACCATGGTTAAGCTCATCCACTTCCAGCCTGCCTAGGCACTGCTTCCGAGGGCCTTCTGCCAGCATGTCAGCCCTCCGCCTTTCCCTCAGCCAAACTGCAGCCCAGACCGTGACCCACTGGTATGACATAGAACAGCCACCCACCACCATCACTCTGTACCAAGTCCCAGGTCCAGCTCCACTTAAGACAGGCTGAACTGTCTGTCCTACATGTGTGTCACCTGGGCTGACGAAGCACTGCCTTTCTGCCTCTGACCTCACCGTGGCCCAGAGATGCACTGACCTCCCGTTTCTAGAAGTCTTTCCTGAACATCTAGTGCATGGAGTTCCTTGTGCCTCTGCATCCTAACCCCAACCTTCATTTTCTCTTCCAGTATTCAGCACAGGTAGATTATTTGGATACACACACACACACACACACACACACACACACACACACGCCCATATGTTTATAAAAATAACAAAAAGATACACACATAATTTTTTATACTCGGGGGAAAGAGTGACCCAGATTTTTTTAAACCACAAATCACAGAAAGTAAATCTGATATCTTGGCACACGCAAGACATTAGTGGGTCAGTAGTTAGTCTTGGTTCTGATGCTTCATTCTCCTTTCTATTCCGTTTTGTTTTTACTTCTTGGCATGGTTACAATTCGTAAACTTGATTTTATGACCTCTCACAAGTTGCACTGAAAAGTCTAAAAAGTAGTAGCTAGAAACTATTCAAAAGGTTCCCCTCTAGTCCCGAGTTTACAAAGGCTGCCTGTTAGCAAGGTCAGGGTAGGGACATTCACGTGACAATAGGACTGGATTTTTATTCTACGTCCTTTCATAACTTCTGAGCTGCTCTGATACTTTCAATTATTTATGTATATTAGTTATATACATAGTATATATTAATTTATACATTTTTATTGTTTGAAAGGAACAACTCAAAATGAAATTAACAGTCAAAACAGGCTTCTCTAGAGGTTAGAGGCAGAGGATGAAAAACTCCAGAGAGCTAAGAGACAAAAGTGAGTGCATGGGCCCTTGGGAAAGACAAGGCACCGGGTCTAAAGGGGAGGCTAGCCTGCCAGGGGCATACAGAAGCAGAAGCAGCAGCTATTGCCTTGGGTGGGCCTCTGCCCTGGGAGGACCATGCTTTCGGTGGCAGTGGCAGGAAGTAATATTGACAAGGGCAGGTATCTTTTCCCTGTTGCCTGCCATATATATGCTAGGGTTCTCCAGTGGTAGCGAGGTGTCCATTTAAACAGCAGCACAGGCAATACAACATAAGGAGAACTCTTTTTAAAAAAAAAAATCCTTCATCCCACTGTGCATTGGGGAGCTAGAGAGGGCTTTGGGTTACTCCCTCCTGTAAATAACAGAGCCAAGCTCCAGCGGCTTCGGCAAGATTACCTTGGCTTCTCTCCTGGGGGGTGGCATCCAGCACCTGCCATCCATTGTACGAGGGGCCTAGGTCAGTCCGCACGAACCAGCCTTCATTCCAGACGTGGAAATTCCTGCAGACAGAAGCCCACGTAACTAGTGAGTGGCAACAATACATCTCCCACCAAACAATGCAGCGCCCAGTTCCTCCCTGAAGGTGCGGACGCTGTGCCAGAGATCCTGCTGGCCTTGCTGGGCATCCTCACCCGGAAATCTTCCTCCGAGGGCTGTGAGCTGGTTCTGAGACACGGGAGCCACAGCTCGGGTCAACGGAGGGGAGTGAGGGGTCTGCTCTGAAAAGTAAGATTCAAGGAAAAGGACCCCAAATTCATCTATAAGCTGCTCACATGTCTGGGTGAACCTTGTATTCACGAGGCAGACCCAGTAGCCCAGCGAAAATGATGGAACTGAGCTGCCCCCACTATGCTGGGGGTTTCAGATCTGGGTCTCCCAAGGATCTTACTGCTACACAGCAAAGGAATACAGTCGTTTGTCCCACCTAGGGTAAACCAAGGCAACGCAACATACAAAGGACCAGAGACTACATCAGTTTGGCCTCAAGAGAGAAAACGGTCATGTGTTGGAGTTGTCAGGCAAGGCCCTCCCAGCAACTACCGTGTCAGAATCGATGACAAAAAGGGAAATAGATCCACGGAGAACGAAAAGAGGAACTTCTGGTAGATAGATAGAAATATTTTTGAAGAACCAAAAGGAAACTTTTAAGTGCAACCTCCCTGATATCTGAAATTGGATAATTGACTGGGGGAGTTTATTTGGGGAAGAGCTGTAACAGGGGAAGAATAAACACACTCAAAGAGAGATCTGCAGATCACTTGGATTATCTAGTCTGGAAATGGGAGAGGGGAAAAAGACAAAAAAAAAAAAAAAAAACCCAACCCAATAAAGTAGAGAAATAGGCACAACATAGATGCCAGACAGAGACTTACATATTAATAAAAACAAAAAGAAAAGAAAAACATGCCAATAAAGACAGTTTTATTAAGCAGTATAAATGATGACTGGGTATACGACAATAGTTTTAACCTCACTGCTATTAAAAGAAGATTAAAATGACACAGAAAAACCGTGACAGCCATGCAGATTCTACCTGCTAGCCTAGCAGAGATTAAAGTCTAGACTGGGGGCCTTGTGCACTTTCAGTTAAGAAAGCAAGTGTTACTGCATACTACTGAGGATTTAAATTGCTATGACCTTTGCAGAGGGCAATTTGGCAATGGGTATAAAGATCTCTAAAAAAATTTGCATATTCACTAAGCCAGTATTTCCACCATGAGGGATTTCTCCAGGGGGAATTTTTATGAATACGCACAGTCATCTAGGCTAGAGAACTCCAGTCCAGCATTGCTCGTGAGAGCAAGAATGCCAGAGGAAAAACTGGCCAATAAAAGAATAACCAAAAAAAATGTTGCACAGCTATAAATGGAATATCACACAGCTGTAAAATAAATGACAAGCAAAATGAAGCTAGCATTTAACAAGGAGGGGTTCTCTAAAGTACCGTATAAAGTAAGAAAAACAAACGCAAGCTGTGTGTGCGTGGTGTGCACTGTAATCCCGAGAAGCCAAATCAGGAGACTGTAAACTCCAGGCCAGACTGGGCTATGCAGTGACACACATCTCAAAACCAAAACGGACCCCACAAAAAAACAGCCACAAACAAACAACCTCCTTAAGAAATCCCAATTCAGCCAAACCAAACAAAACCAACCAACCGAACAAACAAACAAATCAGCTGGCAATTAGGTGTTCTACAATGAAAGCAGAAACCTAATTAAAAATCAGGTTAGGAAACAGTGTGCACATCTCCACGTGTACACGTGTGTGTATGAATCCTTTTCAGTTAAAAATCCCTTGGGGCTGGCGAGATGTCTCAGTGGGCAAAGGTATTTGCCGCGCAACGCTGCCAACCCGGATCGGATCTTTGGAAGAATGTAAAGGCGGAAGGAGAAAGAGTTAGCTCCACGTCACTGTCCTACACGTATGCTCAGTGCCACCCAGCCCACCCCTCGTGAACACACACAGGGTAATAATAAAATCACTAAAAACAATTGTAGAGGAGTTAGGAACTTAGCTCAGAGGTGGAGCACTTGCCTCAGAAGCTTGGGGTCTAAGTTTGGTCTCCATCATTGGAAAAGACTGAACCGAGTTAGTCCCTAATGATTCAATTGTATTAGCCAAATTAACAGTTTATGATATATACAGTACATATAAAACAAATTTTATATTATTTTTGTAGTGTTTCATTTTTTAATCAGGAAAATTGTTCACTACTTGCATGACTAGAAAACAAATGAATATTTAAAAGATTATGTATACTATAAGAACAAAAAAAGCCAGAATAGCGTGAACATAGAACATTTAGTCCTCTAACTGCCTTCAGTACATTTACTCTTTTTGTGTATGTTGGTAGGGATCGAACCCTTGTGTATGATAGGTGAGCACTCTACCATTGATATACAGCCCCACCTCTGCATTAACTCCTTTAATCTGTGACTCTATAAAATGGAAATAGTTACCATCCTTTTTATGACAATTTATAAACAATGGCACCAAGAGAAGTGATCCAGCATCTTACATGGAGTGAATTTCAATTCAAATATAAGGGAGAGAAAATGGAAATATCATAATATTTGTAGGGAAAGTGAAATGGTTTAAATATATGATGGGTTATATTACACTTAAAATAATTTCATTTTGGAGGATATTCAATGGCAGGAGAGTATGTTTAGGGCTGGAGCTCAATGGTAGAGTGCTTGCCTAGCATGGGCAAGATCCTGGGCTCAGGGCTGGAGAGTTGACTCAGTGGGTGAAGGTGATTTCTGCCAAGCCTGATGACCTGAGTTCTATCCCTGGAAGCCACATGGTGACAGATCTGATTCCCACAGGTTGTCTTTTGACATTCACAGGCTCACTGTGGCACACATATGCCCTCACATATAAACATCCATCCATCCATACATAGACACAGGCTGTTTAGACAAATAATAGATGTAAACAAATTAAAGAGTCTAGGCTAAGTATCTATCCTAAAAAACAAACAAATCCTACTGAGGTCATGAAGAGACTGGCTTCCAAATATGAGACATAATAGACAGACATGTTCTCTCTTGAATTTTGCAGAATGTATTACCTTCATTCTATAATCAATAAAAGGACACTAAGGAATGGATAGGAAACTATCAAATGTTAAAATGTGTGAGCACTATGGTCATAGATGAGTTTTGCTTCTCTTAGGTTTTGAAAATTCCTATAGCTAGAGGAAAAAAGTCATAAAAATTATCTCCAGAAAGATCCAAGAAGTCCATTTTCAAATGGTCCATAAGATTGGCTAGTCCTCACCAAGGACGAGGCCCAGCAGCACCAGTGGGCAAGGGTGTGCTCCATAGAAGGCTGGGTGGGGGATTAAAAGGAAGCCTGGAAGAAATTGCAGAAGATTCCTGACCTAGTCCTTCAATTTATAGGTGGGAAATTAAGACAATAGAAACAGCAACAAGTAATTAAGCCACTGTAGATAGTGAGAGTATCTGTCTCTAGCTGCCCATCTTTAGAGAAGTTACAGCCTGTAAGGGGCTGGTTCCAGGAGTCCCTCGGGTACCAAACTCTGCGGTGCTCAAATCCCTTCCATAAAGAGACATAACATTCAACATAATCTATGTGTAGCATCATATTCTTGACATCATCTCTAGATGACTTATAATGCCTAATATAATATAAATGTGGTATACAGTTATATAATATTTAGAAAATAATGAAAAGGAAAGGCCTATTGTGTTCAGACAGACAAAATCACCAAAGGCCTAACTACACTTGCGGTTCACAGTCTCTTGAGTCTGTGGGTGTGGAAATCATTCATTCACAGAGAGTTGGTTGTCTCCCCTCTGTAGGATGCCCAGGACCCGCCCTCAGATTCTAGACCTCATGTGCTTTCTGGTAGTAGAGACCTATTATAATCTATTTCTAGCTTAGTCACAGATTTACAGTGTGACTTTGGGCAAGTCATTTTTCTTTGTAGCAGCCCCGAGACATGTTTGGTCTTATTAGGAAGTGCCACTTAGTGTTTAATGTGAGCCAAGGAAGCCAGCTCTTCCATCCAAGTGGGTCAGACAGCATCCAGCCTAAGCAGATCCCACCCACCACACCAGGTGGCTGCCCCCCTTTGGAAAATACCAGGATAGGCGTGCTGGGTTTAGGAGGTTTTAGTCAGGGATAATAGCAACAGCGTTCTCTGGTGCTTTGTAGTTTTCAAACCTGCCTGAGTTCAAATTCCATCTCTACCTTCTAGTTATGTCTTTTGGGAAAAGTATTCAACCCTTCTGTGCCTCACCTCCTCAACTGTAAGTTGGGCCTTAAAATAATAAAATAATAACACCTATCTCATGATTTGTGAAGTGTAAACGTTAGCACTGAGCACACTCGTTGGCATGCCACCGTGTACTGACTGTTGTTACTGTTGCTAAGCAATGCAAATTGATCCTCACTTTCCATAACTTAGGGCTCATGTGGATAGGAGTTGAAAGCTTCCAATATTCATGATACAAAGATTTAGACCCAAGACTTTCTGCCTAAAATTAAGCCGTGCTTATTATAACAGGGAAGTAACTCTGCCCTTGTTGGTGTGCTGATGTGTGGGTCTCTGGAGGGAGCAGCTAGATCTCATACCAAACACATGGTCTCAGAATAACAATGCTGTTGCGACTCAGAAGAGCTGGCAAGAGGTCTGAATGTTAATCGAGTCCTAGACCAGCTCTTATGCTTCCCTGGAGGAGAAACGTGGGAAGAGAAGGACGAGGAGGCTTGCACACATCTATAGCAGGTGGGTAGCAGATCTGAAAACAAGGCTCAGGGTTCTCTGTTCTAACACCATCTAGACCTGGTTCTCCACACCCAGCTGTTAGGGAGTAGGGTGGGGAGAGGATGCCATTCCTGTTGCCTTCTGAGAAGGGATCCATTAATGGAGTAGGAGGGCACAAGGGACAGGAATCGCCTGATTCTAAAATGACAGTGGGGCTACCCAAGTCTGTCTCTATCACGCCCTATTTGTCTTACAGGTGATTATATTTCGAATAAATTACTAAGCTGGCAAGAAAATAAATGCAATTTAAAAGCCCCACCTTTCTGTTTTGTTGAAGGTTCTCCAGAGGATTCCTTCCCCGGGTTCTCCCAGGGCTTACTCTGAATCACTGGCCTGGACATCAAACGCTATGCTGCCTTGCTAAGTAGCCACACTCAATGCCCCAGTCCCTTGTCCCCAACACTGCTGTGAATTCTCTCAGTAGAGGAACCCGGGCTTAAGCTATCTGATCTCCTTGCATTTCCTGGTGTGCAGGGTCATCATGGATGGGCTAAACAGAAGGGACTTTCCCCTAAAGCTGAGTCAGGCTGCCCTTGGGTAGCTAGTTGCCTTCCTCCTGTAGTGGAGTGCTGTTCCCCCAGTATTCGGAACTGACTGTGAGGAGATTTCAGACACAATAACAAAGCAAAACTAGAGAAGAAAAAAATACTCGTTTCTGGGAAGCTGGAAAGCAAAACCCTTGTTCTAAGTATTGACGTCTCTGGAGAGAAGGTTGTACATCTGCAAAGCAAGGGGGAACATCCTAACACCATCCCCTGGGAAACATCCTCAAGCCGTGTGACTGTGGGTGGATTATGCGAGCTCACTCTCCTATAGAGCGGAGGGGATGTTTCTGTTAGTTCAGTTGATGACACGGGGTTATGTATTTGCATTAACAGCTTTCCCCACTATTTTCACTTCATTTTATTCTATCAGACTAAAAACAGCTCAGAAAAGTTGGACCTTCTTATTCCGGAAATAATAATATGTTATATAAACAATCTCAAAGTTGAACACAATGATATCAGCTCTAAAATTCACCTAGCCACGTGGACCCTCGTGAGCAGTTGTGCATATGTGTCCTTTGAAACTGATTCAAGCAATGGATTCTTGAGTGTGGGGCTATAGACTCTCAGCCATCTACGCATATACACCGTTTTCAACTGATAACAACTGATAATAATCTATCATATGGTATAACCTTAAATGGTTGTAAGAATATGCATATATATCATACACTAATTGCTATAAGTAGTTATACATTTCTAAGTTTTATATAACCTTCTTCTAGTCGGCATCTATTATAAATTATATCTGTGTGCATATGGCTACCTGTGACAATGGCCTATTTGTAATTAGAAATATATGATACCTAAACATAAAAGTTTTCTTATTTTCACCTGCAACCCAGAATAAAATGTCTTCATTCTGTCAACTAAGATGCATAGTAAATATATATAAGCTATGAAAAAATGCATTGCTTTGCTTTTGCCGTGTTTAAGAAGATAAGCTGTGCGTGATGGTGCACACCTGGAATCTCGGCACTCAGGAGCTGAGGCAGGAAGATCATGAGTTGAGGTTATCCTGGGCTACGGAGTCATTCTCTGTCTCAAAAAAAAAAAAAAAAGGAAATACAAGGAACAACAGCTCTAACAACAACAAGACAAAGTGACCCCTGGAGAAGGAAAAAAATATTCTTAAGTCACCTTAAGTCATCTGGTTGCTTGAATAGAGATAAATTGGTGTTTGGTTGCTGTTGTAGGAAAATCAGTAGCTACAAGATTTTAACTTCTCAAGTGGGACCAGGACTAATGGACTCTACAAACCCAGAATGGTCTGGATTTCTGGCTCTGTCCTCTATTGGCATCAGACCCTTCTATGGGCTGCAATGCAGGTCTCATGAGGGACAGGATTAGCACCGGCCGCGTTTCTGCTCGCAACCATGCCTGCCTCACAGTCACTTCCCTTCCAGTCCCAGCGTGGAGCTGGGCGCCGGGGCAAGGTGGGGAAGGTTGGGGAGGGGGGTTGCTCAAACTTGGTGCTCTATGCCCAGGGAAATGGTGGTTGATGGCTTACCACACGCTGTCGCTGCCTTTCTCCAGGGGATTTCCCATGGCGTCGTAGTACACATCCACACTGAGGTTGCGATCTGTGTCATGAGCTGAGTTGAAGTTGGTGATCACCCGAGAGGGCACCCCCAAGCACCGCAGCACTGCAAACCAAGGTCACTGTGAGGATGCTGGCCGTGATGACGATAGTATGTTAACGTGCCCCATTACCACCCATAAACGCCACACCCCACCCACATACCTGTGTTGAGGGTCCCAGCAAAGACCCAGCACTGGCCATATTGGACTGGTCTGTAGCCAGATTTTTTCCAGTTCTTGAGGATCTCCACACTGCCATTCCAGGTCCTGGGGTCCAGGCCGCCAGCATAATTGCCACTCCAGTTCCCAGCAAGAACACCGTTGTCATCATTGCTGTTGATCTGTGTAGAAACACCCCCACATCCAAGTGAATCAATACCATGTCTTTCCCATAGGAGTGACTTCCAGGATTCAGAACGCTGGGTGGGAGATGGGGACGCCATGGGGTCTTGAGTGCACTTTTCTGTCATGAAAACTGTAACAAATCTCTTAGGGGGAGTGGAGCTCATGAATTTAGAAGTACTTAGTTTAAAGGGACATGTTTGATTGCTCTTGAATGACATCGATTCTGTACTGCAGGATGATACAGAAGTAGGGGACTCCACAGTTTGTCAGCAGCAAGACTGGGTCCTGGAGTCCTCTTTGTAAGAGACAATGGCTGTCTGCTTAGGGGTGTGGGTGGTGCCTGTGGTTGAAGTATGTGTGTGTCTGGTGTGTGTGTGTGTGTGTGTGTGTGTGTGTGTGTGTATGTGTGTGTGTGTGTATGAACCCGAAATTACATTAGAACTTTAACATATAACTTCTTAGAAAAAATAAAGACAGAATATTGCTGTTCCTTTCTTCTTCATTCATTCATTAATTTGTTCATTGATCCACTCAGCTTAAGCTTGGGGCTTGTGTAAGGGACACAGCTGTGACAGGACACTGATAGGACCCTGGCGAGGACTCAGGGGACCTCAGTCTCCTTTTCCATTTCTTTCAGAGACAAACATGAAGTTCTTATAGATGGAACCATCTCGAAGGATGGGTATGCTGGATTCATCAAGTCGTCTGTGGGGAAGGGGTCAGAGAGGAAGTGAGACCAGCCTTCGGTGAACAACTGTTGGAAGTGACAGCAGATATGGAGGGACTTGTGTGTTCCTCTCTACTTTTCAATAGGCCTGGATTTCTTCATAATAAAAATTACAAAAGAGAGTTGAGGATGTACTTCAGTAGTAGGGTACTTGTCTAGCCTGTGATAACTCAGTAGTAGGGTACTTGTCTAGCCTGTGGTAACTCAGTAGTAGGGTACTTGTCTAGCCTGTGGTAACTCAGTAGTAGGGTACTTGCCTAGCCTGTGTGCAGCCCTGGGTTCGATCCCCAGTGCAAGCAGTACAGACTCACGTGCCTCTTTAGATATTCTCATCTCTCCAGGTGAGAGAGGAGGGAGAGTTCAGAAACACTACCTGTTGCCTGTTTCCTTCGTGATCTTGGGAGTCAGTTTGTCTCCCTGACCACTAGGCCTTCCCATTCCAGTACAGGGGAAGTGAAAACTAGAAGCCCCAGAGGAACCTTCCCAGCCATCCCGTTTTCAGACTCCATTAAACTTTACCCTTTATCTCAACCATACAGTGAGAGGCTAGACTGAGACCTCATAGATTTCTCAGCCCATCGGATCCGCCCCTTCTCTTTGGAGCACATGGGTGTACCAGGCTTACGAGAGTGGACAGCAGACACAGAAAAACCAGGACAAGCCACCAGCCTTCCCGAAGCCCCAGCGCAGAGGTGAGCTCTGTCTCACGTCTAGTGGTGCCACGCCAGCTAGGGTGGCCCTGAACGTGGAAGAGCGGCAGCTCACAGGCTCCTGGGTCACAAGTGCTTCAGGGTAGGTCCCTGCTGGCCCAAAGCCCAGCACTTCAAAGCTCTGCATAAGCCATAATTAGCTCCTGGCCTGACCCAGCCCAACAGGAGGGTCTGGAGAGAGCATCAGGGAGGCACGTCTGAGGAAATCGGCTCTGAGATAGAGTGGGTTGGCCCCAGGCTGGGAGTGAGTCAGCACTGAGGGAGCCGGCCGGCTTCCAGATCCGACTCACGTACTCTCTTTGCTGGCAGGAAACTTGGCTTCTTAAGTGACCCTGAATGCGAGTTTTACTTAATCTGTTTTCATTGACTACCCCTTTATCCAAGCTCCTTGCTTTTCGAGGTTCTGCCCAGTCCCCTTTAGTCCATTCTCTGTCCTGGCTATTCTGGATCTTACAGATCTGGTTCTGAGCATCTCTGGGTCTGCCTCACTTCATTCTTGTAAGCCTTTGTTCTAGATCCCATTGTTTTGAGAAGTCCTCCCCATTTAAGCCAAGGCATCAGCCCATGCCGCCCAAAGCCTGTTCCGATTTCTAACAAAGTAACTGGGCAGCTTGGGAATAGTCCAAGATGTGCCTAAACCATGCGCCAACATAAAAAGACACTGAAGGTATTTCTGGATTATTATTTAGTTCAAGAAAGTAAGAGTGAAAGAACTGACTTTGATTGTGAGCCTTCTTTGGAGACAGAGCCCCACTGTGAAGCTCGGAATGACTGGGAACTCCTGATCCTCGGGCCTCCTCAGGCTCCCAAGGGCCATCACATCCCGTGAGCTTTTCATTTCTAAGCATGCAGATCCTTTGGTCACTTTTTGATGGAGACTTCCTGTGCACACTGAATACAGAGCCATGGATTCTTCCAGGATTGTGTGTGTGTGTGTGTGTGTGTGTGTACTATAGTGGGATAGGTTTCTCATGTATGGGTCCATGAGACTGGAAAGAGTCCCTGAGCCAACAACTCAAAACCTTGCTTGACTCACAGGGCACACCATGGAAAGGTCGCATTAGCCCACTGAGCCTCTCTCTGTCTAGATAGTGAGTAGGACAATCTGCTCTCTTCCTGTTGTGGCACTTGAGGGTTCCATGCTGACAAGGAGGTGTACATTCCTGTCTCAGGGGGTACATGCTTCCCTTCCCAGGAGGCCTCGTGATGGAGCAGAGGCTTAGCTTTTCATCACATCCAGGTGAACAACTGAGGGTTGTGTTCCCATCCCATCTAAGACAGGCCTGGCCATATGGCAGAAAGAGCTTTGAAACTAGCCATGCTTGGGTCTGGTTCAGTCATTGCTTCTCAGTTACTAAACTTACAGGAGTTCCATGCTCTATTGGCAAAATGGGCAGGGTCACAGCTACCAAACACGGAGTGCATGGATCTGATGTGTCGTCACACGGCAGCCTGATAAGCAATACTTACTACCATTTCCTGTTACTTACCATGGCACTCAGCACCCGGCAAACATATTTGGGATCATTTCTGCGGGCCACATCAGTAATAGGGTCACGACGGAAATTCAGACTCCTATCCAAAATGGAGAGGCTGATGCTCAGAATGTCTTCTTCAAACTGTTCATAATGGGACCACATGGTAAGAGGGAAGAAACGACCCATTTTGTTGTCATTGTTGTTGGTTAAGGGAACAAGAAGCACAATGGTGAGGACCACAGGACCCCTTTGGCCCTTTTACTCGGTGGTCTTCAGAGCTAACAGCTGCTGAGGAAGAGCCACTGCACCCAGCCTTTCCCTAGCAAGCTCACCAGGCCCCTCACTCTACATGAGCCAGAACCCACCCCACTATTATGAATGGGAGACAACAGGGAACCGTTCATTCTTAGCTTGTCATGAACTCAAGAACAAGTCAGCCTTTCTAGCCTTGGTTTCTCCATCTATTTAATGATGGGTCAAGCGAAATGCATCTCAAAGTTCCTTTGTGGCTCTGACTGTTATCGTGAGCGCGTCACTTAGATTCCTGGAAAACTAGGTCTAAAGATAAAATGTGTGGCTGAAGACATAGCTAAAGCTATTTCTACAAAGTAAGACACACACGGGATTGTTTCACACGCTAGCTCTTGTTGCCTTAAGTCTCTGCATTTGTTTCTCCTTCTTCCTGGAATGTCCTTCTCCAAGACAGCTAGCAGACTTTCTTACCTTGCCAGGTTCAGCAGACCCTTCTTAGAAAGGCTTTCCCAAGCCATCCCACCAAGAGAGCCCCGCTCCCACCCTTGGGTGTACTATATACTCTTATCCTCATCTTCTTCCTTTTAACCAAGTCAACACATACACTCAACTTAGGAACTTGCTGGAGTTGGCTCCATAATAGAACCTGGAGTCTGCAGGAGTGCACCTCCCCACCAACTTCTGGGCATCTAGGTAGCCTGGCTGCCCAAAGTCCTTCATTCTAATTCCTTTGTTTACCACCTGGAAAAACTAAAAGTGAAAAAAACACTCCTAAACATTCTCTAAGCTGAGAAAACCCGGGAACTTGCTGAACTCTGGTGGCAAGGACACAGAAGCTATGACTTTGAAAGGCCAATGCCACACAGCGATGAAGCTTTACCACGTTTCCATGTGACGTGAAAGCCAGAGCTGCATTATTGTCCTGAGATTCTTTGCCGGGCCTGTTATTTATTTGTGTGTCAGGCATCAGAAATATTTCACCTCATCAATTCAGCAATGAGTCCGTCTCACCTACTAGACTGTGACTCACTTGAAGCAGAAAATTTATTCATCTGTATCCTTAGGGTTCAGCTTAGGGTCTAGAGCGGAGTAAACGGTCAACAGATGTGTTCCAAATGAATGAACAGGAAATGAAAGGCAGGAAAGTGAGCAAATCTGCTAGAAGCCCTGAGCCTCTTGTGTTAAGGACAAAACCCTAGCCCTTTTATGGTCCTTTTACCTGTCCAAAGTTCCAGCCAACCATGCCAATTCGGTTTGTGCTGCCCACGTAGATGATGCCAGAGTCTTCCTCAACATACTCTTGTCTTTCGGCAGAGTTACTCATGAAAACATCATCCGCTGTTTGATACACACACACACACACACACACACACACACAGAGACAGACAGACAGACAGACACACACACACAAGGGAAAAAAACAGAAACAAAAATAGATCTTGTAGTGAACCAATGAAATACGCTTTCTTCCCACTCCTGAAGACTGGTGTTGGGGTTGGAGCAAGAGTCACTTGGGCCCATACCACAGTCTGACTAATTTTCTTTCCTTTTTCCTTTTCTTTTCTTCCCCCACCCCCCAAGACAGTGTTTCACTGTGTAACAGCCCTTGCTGTGCTAGAACCGGCTCTGTAGACCAGGCTGGCCTCGAACTCACAGAGATCTGCCTGCCTCTGCCTACTGAGTCCTAGGATTAAAAGCCTGCATCCCCCACCACCTATCCTACAATCTGACTGAAGAATGAAGTCTTGAGCTATGATGCTTGCAGCTCTCACTGTGGGGGGCTCAGGCTGGAAAGAGAAGCTAAGCTAGAATAAAAGCCTAAAACTTGGACCCAAGAATGAGATTCCTTTAGATAGAAAGGTAATGGGGTACCACCTCACTGCAGAATTTTACTGTCATCATTATCTCTTATAATTTATCATGCTATATAAAACGTGCATATAAAAGCTTATACAATTCCTATGGGATCCTGACATACACTCAGTGGGAACAAATTTGAGGATGAGATGGTGTAATTGCCTAGAATCACATGGCTGGGTTAGCTTTTCTGCTCCTCCTACAGTCCAGAAACTTTCTACAATCAGGTCTAGGCCTGTAAGGAGCATATGTCCATCATCCTTATTTTCCACACTCGTTGCTTCTATCAGGGCCGTGGGGGGAGTGGGGGATGCTGTGGTCAGAGACCTACCTTGCAGCCATGGGTTGAAGAGCAGTATAAACATTCCGAGTTTCTGAGAGGAGACCCTGCCCTGGGAGGAGATCTCAACATTCATTGTGTACCACCCGATGGGTGCATTGGCAGGACTGGCGACAACAATGGTCAGATTATTGTTGTTGTTGGCTTTGAGGGCTGCATTCCAGCCACCTGTAGTTCTCCCAGAGATGGAAAACACAGCCTTTGTCCTGGCTGACTCTGAGGGCTGGGGACCTGTCAAGGAAATAGAAAATGAAGGAAACCAAAGGGTGCTGGATAGGTTCTGAGGAGAAATCAGGCTCTAATGACACTGTGAGCTCCTTTAGGTCAATGGTTCTCACTCTATGGTCATGGGCCACCTAAGACCATCAGACAACATAGATATTTACATTATGATTCATATCAGTAGCAAAATTATAGTTATGAAGTAAAATAAAATAAAATAACTTTATGGTTGAGGGTCACCACAACGTGAGGAACTGTATTATAGGGTTGCAGCATTTGGAATGGTGAGAACCACGGATCCAGGATTTCATTCAGTAAAACATCTCATCACAGGGCTTGCGGGAACATGTAGGCCACAGCCTTCTTGATTTGAAGATGATAAGTCTCATGCTCAGAGATACAGAGCCACCAAAGTCAACCAATCAGTGACATAACCCAAAGCCCAATGACCCCTCAAGGGCAACTCAGCTGTATGCATGTGCAGAAGAAGCAGAATGGGTACCTGTAGAAACAACAAAGTTCAGATCTTCTCCGGACTCGAGACTTCGGTTGCAGGATATTACCATCTCCCAGGGCTGTCCTCTCCGAACAATGAAATCCCGGCTGGAGTACTTGTCTGTGTGATGTGCCCTCCGGTTCACAGGCATCTGCCAGTTGACATTTTGGACTTCTAAAGCTATGAGACAGAAAGCAGAACCTGAAGTCTTGAGGGGTCCTTACATAGTGTGCAGTATACCAAGGACAGCCGTGGGTGAGGAGGCAGGGTAGAGCTGAGCTTCTAGAAGGAGTCACATTAAAGCACAAAAGCTTTGACTCTGCCTAGCAGGATGGTCACCACTTGTTCCCATCCAACCTTTCTGTATTCAAATACTCCAATGCACAGGACCCAAGATCACATGAGCGCGTGGCCTTTCCAGACCATTCCACACACTATCCCTTCTGCTCAGAATCTCTCCATCCGCCTGGTGCCTTGTCGTCAGGCCTTGAGGAGCAGCTGAGCACTCAGGGAAACAGCACCCAACCAACTAGAAGAGGAGTGTCAGAAGAGACTGAGAAGACAGTGTGGTGGGTGAAGCCCTTGCTGGGAAAGTGTGAGGACCTGGGTCCAGACCCCTAGCACCCCCAGAAACGGTGCAGCTGTAACCTCAGCACTAGGGATGGAAACAGGCAGATCTCCAGGGCTTGCTTACCCTGCAATCTAAATGAAACAGCAATCTCCAGGTTCAGGGAAAGGCCTACCTTGAGAAATGTAGAAGGGGGCATTGAGGAAGGTATCCCAACACCAGCATCTGGTGTCCACATCAAAAATAACTGTCTTGGGAGCTGGAGAGATGGCTCAGAGGTTAAGAGCGTTGCCTGCTCTTCCAAAGGTCCTGAATTCAATTCCCAGCAACCACATGGTGGCTCATAACCATCTGTAATGAGGTCTAGTGCCCTCTTCTGGCCTTCAGGCATGTACGCAGAAAGAATATTGTATACATAATAAATAAGTAAGTTTTTTAAAAAAAAAATAACTGTCTTGGGGCCTGGAAAGATGTCTCAGTGGTTAAGAGCATGGCTGTTCTTTCAGAGGACTCAAGTTTGAGCCCCAGAACCCACATGAAGGCCAAGAACTGTCTGTGATTCTAGTTCCAGGGGATTCTACACCTTTCTGTGGCTTCTGCAGGCACTGGACACACAGATGATGCATAGACGTGCACACAAGCAAAACACCCACATACATAAAAGAAAAATAAACAAATACAAAAACCCAAACAAACCAAACAATCCTGTTTTAAATACAGCTCAAAATGCAATCCAAACAACAAGGTAAATTTGGGGTATTCAAAGTGTGTGTGTGACCAATTATTTGTAAAGCACTGTTAGACACATTGGAGTAGAAAATGTGACAAGCAGTTTGACTTTTCAAAGGTCTTCAGTAGTGAAGAAGTGAGACAAGAGAAAGACGCAGTGAACGATGGCGTGGGAAGAATCCATCTCTTTCAACTAGAGGTGCATGGGAAATGCAGTCAAGAGAGGAGCATTTAGGTTTTTGTCTGTAGAGGTCAGAAAAGGCTTTCCTAAAAATGCTTGCCCTTAAAAGAAAACATAAAAATGTCAGAAAGGCACAGGAAGGTTTGTAGTCCTCAGCATCTCTAATCACCAGGAACTGTGAATCAAAACAGATGCTCTTACCCTGGTAGGAATCGTTACTACCAAGAGAAGTGATATGAGAGGAGAGGAGCCCTTGTGCCCTGCTGGAGCTGCATGCCTTTAATCTCAACACTCAGGAGGCAGAGGCAGGCGGATCTCTGAGTATGAGGTCAGCCTGGTCTACAGGGTGAGTTCCAGGACAGCTAGCACTGCCCAAAGAAAACCCTGTTTTGAAAACTCTACCCCTCCAAAAGGAAATGATTACAGCACAGCCATCATGGAAAACAATATGGAGGTCCTTCAAAACAAATTAAAAATTGAACTGCCCCAT